CTGCTCTGTGCTGCTGTGTGGCTGTGCTCGTGGTGCCGGTGTATCTGTGTATGGCCTGAAAACAGGACAGATTCTGACCAGCCTAACGGCATGGACCTGAGCCGCGCCGCTGTATCTATACATCACATCTACATTCTTGACGTTCGTCCTGCAAGAACAGCTTGTGCGAGACCATCAAAAGCTTTACAACCTCCGTCGCGATGACATGCTATCAAACTATCGTCCGTGCAATTGCTACGCCATACTAATTCAAGCACACCACGCGGCTATGTCTCTGTTTCAATCGCTGCTAAAGTTCAGCCGGGTCACAATATAACTATATTCTATTTTCGTCCTATGCTGTTCAATCATTCATTCATTATTATTCATTAGTGTATAGTCTATCATTATATAAAGGGCTGGCCGTATTTAGTATTTTAATAATAGCCGATTTTGCCCCGTCCTTCAGGCCCGTTTGCCGCTCTCACACTGGGCGGGCCCCCGTGTGGGTATGTTTCCTGGACCCGGGCGCCCGCCCTATTATCATATACTAATAGCGAATCCTTCTGTTTACCGTGGTGGCTCGAAACTGTTATTCCGAAACACACAAGTTTTCATAATACGGCGTTACGTTTCCAGGATCACTTGGCGCGGGCTGGGGGGTAGGACATATGCAAAAGGGATCCACAGTCGATCAATAATCGAGGACTTTTATACTGCTTCGGCGACCGTGCCGAGCACGCGGCTGACGAGCAGGATGGGGGCGAGGAGGCGCGTTCGCCGTCTGTTACGCCCGCGTGTACCAACGGGCCAGCGCAGAATTGCCAAGTCATGGCTTCGCGCAGTTCACTCGTTGAAAATAAAAACGGAGACGCCGCGGGCCCATACTGCATATAACGACTCACAGGGGGTACAGGCGTAGAACATCGCTCAACCTTCTCTCTCTCTCTTCGCCTCCCCCTCTCTCCTTCCTCTTCGCCTCCCCCTCTCTCTCTCTCCTCTCTCTCCTATCTCTCTCTCTCTCTCCTCTCTCTCTCGTCGAGGGTCTCCTCTCTCTCTCTTCCTCGCCTTCATCTCGTCTTCTCTCTCTCGCTCCTCTCGCTCCTCCTCTCTCTCCTCTCCTTCTCTCCTCTCTCCCTCGCATTCTCCTCTCTATCGCAAGATGGTTTTAAGCCTATGCTCCTTGAAACCTTGATGCTCATGGGGCCGCTATTCTTAATTTAATTTATCCTAATTGAAAAACTAAATAAACATAGACAATAACTTACCGTTCAAATAACGGTGCCGGCTGTCGGACGGACTGCCAAGACGAGCTGTCGGTGCAACTGCTCTATTGCAGCCACTACGAGTAGATGAAAACGCACCCGTTCGGTCTTCGCTTTTAGCGGCCAGCGGCCCGAGCTTAACGAATACAAACGGTAAGGCCCGCCCGTGGGTGCTTAAGGCAATAAAACGGGACCGCGCACCGTTCAGCAATATCGTAGACGTCATCTGAGTACTCTCATAAGCTATGCTTGACGTCATTATAGCTTCTATCAAGCTACCGCCGGCGCTGTGACCGTCATCCTATTTACTCTTGTCCGTTTTCGGCACAAGGATGACGCCGTGAGATTCATTTTCGGGGACGGCGGATGTGCTTCTAAAAGGGGCACGAACAGATGCAGGGGGCGTTGGATATCTCTGCCGCCAATCTTAATCTCTTATCTCTTTATCCTTCCTCTATTCTTTTATCCTCTTCCTCTTGCCAGTTCTAGAACAATTAATTCATATTCAATCTTCTATGATGCTAGCCGTATAGCAGAAAACTTCACATTCCCACATGAAGGGCCGGAACGCGGGCGCCCGTGCCTACAAGCGTTTCCCAGCTAAGCACCCAGCCCTGCCACCAGGCTTTCCCGGCGCGAGGTTTGTCAATTAAAACTTCCAACAAAGCACAAAGTTATCCGGGCTGTCTGTTCGCGGTCGAAAATGCTTAGACTTCTAACGTTCACCGAATCAGGCGACAAAAAAAATACTTGCTGGGGCTACTTTCGTTCCGAATCCCTGCTCCATTAATTACAAAGAATTCCTGGTTCCTATCTCCCGCCCAAACTGGAAACAAAATACTCTTCGGCGGGCAGGGCGCCCGGCCGCGCTACCACTCGACGGAAACGTATGCTGTAACCGGCGGCGGTGGTAACGTAACACAGCGGGCGGCGCGCCAGGGGTTCGGGTTTGACACCACGGTGTTTATGGAGCATCTACTACATGCATCATTTTGAAAGCTTATGTTACATAGCGCCTCAATATGGCACTACTTGCAGTGTTCCTATCATTAATAGATCCGGCTCGATCAGGGGGTTTACCAACATTTGCTAGCTGCTTCTGATTTTCTCATGTTAGCATTTTTGATGCTGCTTACGTGTTGGACGCGGCGCGGGCGGCGGCGCCGCGCGGGGGCGTTCGCCCGGGGGGATGTGGCGCTGCTCACGGGCTTTTTCTTCCGGCCTGGCGCCCTTCCACCCACGATTCGCGCTTTGCGGCCTACCGCATTATGACTTCACTTTGACATTCTGTTTGTTCACTTCTAAATTTGCGCACGGCCGGCCCGGCCCGGCCGGCCGGGGTGTATTGTATTTATTTTAATAAGTATCAAAGGACCCCAGTCATATACCGGGTCATTGTATACATAATAATTTACTCCCTGCATCTCTGCCTAAAATAGCCGACCATAATTTTATCGTCCTGCTAATGAAGCAAAATTGTGGAAATTACCAAAAAAAATGATTAATCGAAGGAGAAGACATCTGGACCATTCGCCGTTGCGGCGGCTTGCTTGGCCTCCGAAGAAGCCGTTTATCGGCCGGCTGTCAGCGGTACGGTAACTGTTTCGCCTGAGTTTTGTCGCGTATTGAAATTTCGTTCCGTTACTGTCAGTCCAATCCTCCGCCCCGGCCGGCGCCGAGGCGCACCCCGGGCGCGCGCGGGGGCAGACCCGCGACCTGTGTTTGTTTACATCACATCTAAATCGTTTCCAACCGTCGTAACACGGGATTTGGGCAAAACGTTCATGTAATTGTGCGATACTACGCCCGGGATACACATGAAATAGAGCGATTTTACACTTGTGGGTGGCCCCGCGCGACGGTCAGCAACCGGCCCCACCCAGTTTCAAATAAAACAATCGGTCCCAAACAAAAAACAATGTCAATTTACATCAATATTAAAATATTAATATGTATAATGCAATATAATTAGCGTTAGCGTTAGCGGTTAGGGTTAGGAATTAGCAGCGGTTAGGCGCTTAGGCCACTATTTGGTTTTTATTGCCGGACCCATGCTTCTCTATCCTTGGGCAGTCACTGTCACAGTCACAGTCATAGTGTTCTAACTTCTCAGTATCGCTCATAGGGTCTATGTCCCCCAGGGTACTGCCGGAGCGTACCCTGGGTACGGTCCGGTATACCAGAACGTACCCTGGTCACTATTTGATATGGTTAGGGTTAAGATTAGGGTTAGGGTTCGGGTTAGGGAGTAGGCGTAGGCGACTCCCTAGACTCGTTAGTGGAGTAGGCGAGGTACGGTCCGGCATATTAGATAGTACCAGGGTACGTTCCGGCAGTACCCCGGGGGACATAGACCCTCTCAGCATCAGTATCAGTAACTGAGTAGCGTCAGTGAGTAAGTGCGTGACCACTTACAAAAACATAAACAAAAGATAAAGCCAAGTTAAGTCTAATGCCTTGTCTAATTGCATTCTTCTTTTTAGTAAACACTTGCGCCAATACTTTGCCGAGTAACCGCTGCTAGCAATGGAGAAGTCCCTCGTTCAACCCCTCGAGCAGTTTCTGCTGCTTGCGAAGACTGCTCGTGGTGCAGCCATCGTGGAACTGATTAAGCAAGTTCTAGAGGCACCCGGAGTCTATGTCTTCGGAGAGCTGCTGGACATGCCAAACATTCAATCGGTATTCCCAGCACGATAATTAATAAAGATTATACTCATCACTGTCAACTCTTTCTTCTGTTTCTTTCTGTTCTGTTTGTGTCTGTCATTTCGTATTGGAATTCTCTCCCTTCCTCTTTAGTAAATTGCAAATTTGGGTTTTTTTCAACTGCGAACTACAGTGTTGATCTGTCTATTTGATCACCTTTGTCTCTTTTGAAATTTGGTGCATTATAAGCTATTCTGAACACATTGTATGAGATTTTCGGAAGCGAGGCGGTGTTTTGGACAAATTTCTGATAATTTGAGCGAGGCGGCCCACCTCGCTCGTGTCAATGCAGGGGAAACACTATATGGTGAGCACAAACTTTCCTACGTAACGGTACTGTGTTTTTTCTCATTTAGATGGTTGTTGAGTCATCGCCAGAGGCGTTACCTTACTGGCGTTTACTTCATTTGTTTGCATTTGGTACCTACGCAGATTATAAAGGTAATGTCGATCAGGTTGCTGATTAAACTGTGCATAAATAACTGGCTTTTAGAATGCATAATTTAGCTGAAAAAGGGGAACTAACAGACAATTTAGATGTAATAGGAATATAATGGCAATAAAGTTAACCAGTTGGGATCAGTGTATGAATATTATATTGTGCCATAACTGGGTACCGGTATATATAGAGAGTTGTATAGTAATTATGTGAAATCTGGTATTTTTTTAGATCTTCAGTTACACATTTATACATTTTATTAAAATTCCAGTTGGTGGTATATTAACTTACATGTATGCATTTTGAGGATATTTGTAAAATATTAATTAATTCACTTCAGAAAACAAAGCTCAACTTCCTGAGATGACACCAACACAAACAAAGAAGTTGAAGCATTTAACTATAGTTTCATTAGCAAACAAATCTAAGGTACACTATTTCAATAAGTCATAATTGGTTTGACGTTCAATATAGGAATGTACATTTGAGCTCTAACAATTCTAATACCCTATATGAAGTTAGTGTGGTTTGCCATAACGATTCGTAGACAAAGCATTACATTATGCATGGCTAGAATTTCACAACAAATTCAGGAATCTTGAAGGAAGGATTGTAAATTTTCCGACCGATTCGTCAGCAACGATTATGATAGCCGACCTTGCATTTTTCAGTGCATCCCTTACTCCGTCTTGTTACAAGAACTTGACATCAGCAGTCTGCGAGGGCTGGAGGATCTAATAATCGAGGTGATATACGCGAACGTTGTTCGCGGTAAGCTCGATCAGAAGCGGCAGTGCCTAGAGATAGATTACACGATCGGTCGCGACATTCGCATGGAGCCAGCTATCATCGGCATACTCCAGGAATGGTGAGATTACTCTGGTCCACGCACCACTGCTTTAAAGTGATTACGTCACCATAAATACTAAAAATTACAAAAAAAATTTCCACTTTTTCACAAAATATAAGTAATTCTGTTCACTTTTTATGGTTAAAGGCTCACAATGCGCATCCAAACGCTAATTTCTCCAGTACTAGACTAGCAAATACTTTGTGGCATGCATACTCACACTACCTTATGACAAAATAAACTCTAGTTCCTCCCATTTCACTGCGCGTTGTCTTATAAAAGGTATTTGAAAATATACCTCCAATGTTGTTCAAATTCTCTGATGTTGTTGACAGTTTCCCCAATCCCCAAGCAACCGTGCAGCGGTGCAGTGGTACAGCGGTACGGGTGTAGCAAAGATAAAAACATGTGACGTCACGTCACCACTTCGAGGCTATATTGTTTGGCAAACAGTCGGTGTTTGCGCCAGAATGCCAGTTTTCTTACCTCTTCTTGTGGGTTTTACAGAAACGCTGCAGTTGAAATGCGAGCAACTGAGTTATTTTTGTCATAAAGTAGGAGTGTGAATTATGCGATGCGCACGAAGTATTTGCTAGTCTAGTACTGAGAGAAATTAAGCATTGTATGCCGCATCTGTGAAGCCTTTAAATTGCTGCTTATACTTCGCTATTTTACTATATTATTCTCGATGTGAACCTACACTCTAGTGACTCATACATAAGACAATATAGCAGCAATTATGTCAGGAACATTATTTCAAATCATCCAGGTTTTTGGCGATTTTTAAACTAGTTGAGAAACGAATTCTTATCAGGTAATGAATTTGACAGAAAGTTTTAGGCCCGTTAATTCTTACATTTTAATGTAAAAAAAAATGGCAACAAAAAATTTTTTTTTCTTTTGAAAAAAAATTGTTACCGATAGAAAATTCGTAGGACGTAGTCAATTTAAAGGATACATGAATCTAGATTTCTTGCATATTTGTAGTTACAATAGGTATAAACTATGCTACGTAAAAAATTCACTGTTCAGTATTTATTAGAATTTTTTTTTTTTTTTCTTCTTTTTTTTTTCCCTTTAAATCTGCTATCTGTCCTACTTTTCAATTTACATGTTTATGCATTTTCTTGCCCATACATTATTTAGTTTACGGATACGTGTGCGAAAAAATAAACCTTTTTAGCACTGCACCGTGCATTTAGATTATAGTGTGCTTCATTCATGAGGTTAGATTGGAATGTTGAAAGCTGAATTCGAAATCTCTGGATAAAAACGAATATTCTGTATGGCCCATGAATTTTGCAACCATGTTAGACTGGGAAGGAAAGCATATGGATGTGTGTCGGCCCTTGATTGAAATTGTTGTAGCTGTTGTAATAGTGGATTAGGTCGTAAAGTATTTATTTCGAACATAATTTCAACCAGTCTCGTGTTTTCCCCACTTTACGACACTTACCGTCATGCTTGATTGAAAATTGTTGTAGCTGCTGTACTAATGGTTTAAGTCTTAAGTGATGAATACAGTCAAGAAGCCAGATACGATAATAATGGTTTATTTACGTGAAGTGCAACGATGTAGTGGAACGATCATTCATTCAACTAAATATGTGTGGGATGGGAGCGAGTGATAGTTGTGTTCACATGTTATCTAGGTGCGACAACTGTGAGCTAACCCTAGCAAATATCGAAGAGCAAGTGAAGAAGGCCAACACGCAGCGAGATCACCACACGAAGATCAAAACTACAATTGAGACTGAGGTACGTGAAACAAGCGCTTTTGGCCTGTATGCTCATGAGAAAAAGTTTACTATGTTGAATCTGCTATGTTATTATTGTTTTTTTCTGGTTCCGTGTGCACGAAAGATCTGGAACATGGCCCATGTGTAGAAGTGGTAAATGTAATTTTTATGGATTTGAACTGGTTAAATGTTTGCAACATATTACTCACATCATAAATTACTGGGCAATCACAGCAGTTTCATATTGCCTTGTAATTTATATATATAGGTCTTAAATATACACATTTGCCTATCTAATTGTCATATATACGTAACAATGTTTTGTGTCAATAGAAAATACAAGTGACTGTACTACCAACTAAATTAATAAGTATGAAAAGCTATGTGCATTTTTTTTTATTGATTTACACTTGTATTTTATTTCTATACTAGATGGCAGCAGCTACTGCAGTATGTGGTTGATAACACGAACTCGGCTAGCATATCACTATTTTATTGGTTTTTAGCTCATCTGACATAGTCAGATGCAGCTTGTAGAATCGCAAGTTGATTGATAGTAGCGTGCGTCGTGCGTCCGTCCGTGCTCCTCAACAGTTGGGCACAAATCTTCAACCGCTCGACGTACGGTCACGATATTCGGGACGTGGGGGGTAATCGAAACGAGTTGGGATGTTGAAGCTGGGGTCAAAGGTCAAGAGGTGTAAAAGAAGCGGGAACATTCCCTTCTTAACTTAAGGTAAGGGGAAAATGCAGAATTGCTGCCACAAATCTAAACGGCTTGACTCAGGCTCGTGATAGTCGTGTATAGCATCATGGTAGGAAAAGCCACCACTGCTGCGAAAATGGAGTCACGGTCAAAGCGTCAATGGGGCACAGGCGCAGATTGTTAGACATTTTTCTGAGGACATGGTCTGACGGAGCGATTGAAAACTTTTTGTTTCAAGAGTGACCTACCATTTTTATGGCTTTATTGAAGCGGCATGAAATGTGCTTTCACTGACGTGCGAAGAGTAAGTGCTCTGATAACCTTTTGACCCCAAAGGAGGGTTAAACATGGATTTGTTGACTGTTAACAAGGACGAACTGCTTTTGCTATTAGAGCCCCCTTCACCCGCCCCTCCCCTCCCACCCTTCCTCCCACCCTCCACCACCACCACAAACCACTACGCCCGCGCTCGAGCCATATCCATGTAACGTTAAAATAGCGAAGCCTCATTAAAGCACACAGCTATATCTTTATTACTGTACTACCAGTATAGCAAAGCCTATCAACGCGGTGGCGGAGGGCGCACTTGATTCGGTTGCCAGTGAGTTTATCAGAAGAATAGCCGGCTACAGTACACGTCAGTTTGAGCCGCTGTCGCCCTCTGCGGCACTTGTTGTTCTTAGAATCTTCAAAAAATTCAATCCAAAATAACTTATCTCATTATTTCGTTTAAACGATTAAACTTATGCTCAGAAATAGGTTAGCCTTGATAACATGATAGATAGATAGCATAGATAATAAGTTTATTGCCAAAACTTAAGTGTTAAACAACGTTAACAATTTTAAAATATAATTTGGGTGCAAACAAGCATAATCATTCAGGGCAGTTATTAAAACTGAAATTGATAATATTTACAATCAATATACGTCTCATCGTAAGACATAAAACATGAGATAAATCAATAAACATAATAAGAGATAACAGCATCTCAGCGGTGGACTTAGTAATGGTTTTAGCATAACTTTCTTCGTGGATTAACAATGTCAGTGTCACGAGCGATTTGTGTGGCCAACTATGCTAAGGCCAAAACATAATATATGTGTGGTTACCGTTACATGCCGATAAAAATAGGGTAGGTAGGTAGGGAAAACATTTTATTTTCTTGAAATTTTTCTTTTTTTTACTTTAAAGAAAATTGACAATAAAATGTTTCTAGGGTCGCTGGGAATAAATAGGGTCGGTCGGGAAACCGTAACCACACCTAGATTTTGTTTTGGCCTAACATACATGTTACATAAGATATTTGACGTTTATCATTGTAGTGTGATTCTGCATCTTGCAATGCTTAACGGCAGCAGTGTACCGTAAACGCTGCTCGGCTCTGACACTAAAGCTGTCCGCTTGTTTATGCTGTGTGAAGCTGTCAGCAGTGTGTCACTACTGTGTATCCACATAGGTGGCGAATATCAAGAAGACGCTCAAGGCGCAGGCGCAGGAATATGACGAGTCGATGGCAGTCGACTCCGCCCAACCCGTCGTCACGCAGCCGGAGAAACCTGCCAAGAAATCATCGAAAACAAAAGGGTGAATACCATAAACTTGGAATGTACTCTATCTTGCCTAACTGACCTATGCATGCCTGAGTGGGGGTAACCCGTCTCTTTTTGGTTGGATGTTGCTGCTAGATAAGTTGAGGTAGCCGAGTTTATACGTGTTTTTTTACGCGCGCACGCCATATTGTTGGCTTTGCTAAACATTGTCTCTTAGAACGAACTTCGTATCGCAGTGACTGACAATAATGACTGGTCAATAATGACTGGTCAGAGCTTCTTGGAATTCATATTAGATGGATAGCTGGATAGGCTAGTCTATCATTGGTGTAGCATCTTGGCATCTATGATATTGCTGTATGTTTGCTGTGTTAGGCGTAGAATGTGAGAAATGCTGATCTAGGCAGTAGCACAGCCCTGCGGTTAGCTCATTGGTACGGTGACCCACGACTTCGAACTGTGATTTAATGTGGCCAATTATTTGCCATTTGACTAGATAAAATATATTATACGAATTGTTAAACACTGAAAATGCAGCTGACATTTCTTCCTCAGTATAGCAGTGCACTGTCTTTGCTTTAGAATTTACTAGGTGATGAACAGTGTATGATTTATTCAGATCGGTTCGTTAACCTTGTAAATAAATCTGTTTATTTTGTATCAGGAAAATCGTGATAATGTAATCGCTGGCTTTGTCACTCTTATAAATGAATGTACAATTGTTTGTTATCCACTCAATACAACTGTCCTTGACCATTAGATAGTAGTTAGTGGCGCTAACCCTGATCACGCCACCTCTGGTGGAAACTAATGATGAAGATAATGATAATGATAATGATAACGAGGACGGTGTGTAAGATAACGAGCACTTTGTCAGATCACCAGTTATTAATTGTTCCTCGGATTTGTCCGAATGGGATGCGGATGTCGTGTTTGAATCCATCGTTAATGAAGTAGGTTCTCCGTTTCCTCGTTAACTTGACTCTGCATTGACACGCACGCACGCACGCACGCACGCTGCGTGCTGTGGTACGCGCACGTCAAGCACTTGCTGATATCTCATCTTGCTTGTTTGCAGGCTGCGTGGAAGTGGAGGCAAATTCTGGTCGAAATCATCGTCGTGAGAGCAGTTTGTAGTGGATCTGCAGTTTCCCTAGAGAGTGCGAGAGAGATGGGTGGGGAGAGGAGAGAGGGAGTGGAGAGAAAACGAGAGAGAGGGGGAGGAGAGAGGGGAGGGAGAGAGAGAGAGAGAGAGGGAGAGAGAGCGAGCGAGAGAGA